TTGTTGTCTTTGTTTACTTGATCTAAATGTTGAAATTATGGAACCTATTATAGATATTTCAATTTTTGAGGAAATGAAAAAAACAAGGAAACCAGTTCCTTTATGGTCAGATACACTTAAATCGAAAACAAATGGAACAACATCTCAAGAAAATACAATATATTTTAGTGAAACATTGGAAGTTTTGAAAAGTGTTGTGCAAAATTTTTTAAATGATGATTCACCACGAAAAAATGTGAAAGTGACAGGTGAAAAATTTATTAGTAAGATTGGATTTGATGAAGCGAGGTTGGTGTTTATCTTTCTCCCAAAATTTATTATTCATATCCATCACATCACTTCCATCACACCAAATTATGAAAGATAAGAGAAATAATATTTTCAATTTTCTAACAAATTTTTTTTTGCCTTTAGCAAGGCTTTTTTTACCAAGCTCGATTATACATTAGATAGTAATGATTCGGTCATGTTGTTTCGACCGCCTCCACTAGATGAAAAAAGTCAATTTAAATTTAAACATGTATTAGAAGAATTGGATTTACAATATATCGAGTTGAGTGAGTGACCTTAAATATTATATATATATATATATATATTACATTCTTTATACATTCTTTATATATTCTTACTTTGGTTATTTAAATAATAATAAATAATAAATTAATTAATTATTATTATTCCAAATCTTAAATTTAAAGGTAAAACTAATTCTCGATATATGGTTCCCTGGGATAAGTTGTGTCACGTTCTTGGAACAAAATGTAATCGAATCAGAATCTTTTCAATATATATATATTTTTTTTTGTTAATATCTTTGATTGTTATTACCATTTTAAATTAACTCAAATTTATATCAAATTTTATATTAAATTGAATATTTTTTATTTCGGATATCGATATTGTGGATTCGATAAAATTAATATTAAAAAAAAAAAAATAATATACTAAAAAAAAATTATATAAAAAAAAAAAAATTAATATTAAAAAACAATTAATATTACAAGATAAACCGCGATCCCCCAACCTTTCATCCGGAGTATTTGATCCCAAATCAACCAGTGCGTCAAGTCGATGTCACGCATTGGGATGTATACCGGAAATGGATGATAGCATTTTAACTGAGATGTATAATATTTTAATTCGTGAACATCCGGAAAAAAATCCCGAATATTTACAAGCGGTATGTGAAATTTATGAAGAAAGGAAGAGTGAATTACTTGGAGAATTAGTGGGCTTCGAAAGATCCAAAGGTATTTACGCATTAATCATTTTGATCTTATTATGTGTTGAATATTGTTGAAATAATAAAAATTATTGGATATTTTGATTATTAATATATTGGGTATTGACGGTCATTATTGTATTAACTTTAATTTTCTATAAAATCAAAAAAAACAAGGTAAATATACTCTGAGTGATGTCGAAGAAGCATACAGAGAAATGGACGCAAAACCGAGCGTATCAGATGAACAATTGATTGAGGCATTTCAAACATATGTAATTACATTATTTCAGTTTTCACCTTTTCTTTTCTTTTCTTTTTTCTGTTGCCGTCTTACGAGAAAATTGTTATTATTATTATTATTATTATTACTATTATTTCTTTAGTATAATGAACATCCTCATACGAGTGGAAGAATGAGGGAAGCTTTATCAACTATTGGAAAAGCTAGAAATAGTTTAAGAATCGAAAATTATTTAAAGGACAGAACAAATGGTAAGAAAAGTAATATTAATCAATTAATAAGAGATACCCCTTGCGATATTTCCATTTTTTAGTTTAATAATCAAATATTATCAAATATTTTTTTTTGGAATAG